TATTACTCAGGGGTGGGATTCAAACGTCTTAACAACCGGTTCTGTGGGTGTGGCCTAATTTATGGGTGTGGCTTGGTGGTCACGTGACTTGGTGGGCATGGCTTGCTGGCTGGGTGTGGGTTGGTGGTCACGTGACTGGCTGGGCGTGGCTTGTATGTAAATATTGTAAATTTTTATGTAAATATTGAGTTTTTTATTTTAAAAAAGATCAATTTTTACCCAAAATCAGACAAAGCAGGCAGGCATTGCTTACAGAATCACAGATGCACTTAGAGATCTATCTTTCTGCAATCTATTGCCGGAGTCTATCACATAAAATTTGCTAGCAAGCAAACTCACAAAATTAACTCAAAACACACCATGCATGTAAGTATTGAAATTTTTATTTAAAAAACAGCAACTTTTACCCAAAATCAGGCAAAGCAGGCAGGCAGATTGCGTTGCTCACAGAATCACAGATTCACTCAGAGATCTACCTTTCTGCAATCTGCTACCTGAGTCTGCACAAAAAAAAAAATAGAAGCTTCAGTCCTAAGGAAGGTTCGGCTCTGCTTTTAGATTAGCTAGAAAGCAAGAAATCCAATTCCTGCTTTGTAGCTAATGTCAATCTCCCAGCACAGCAAAACAGCTGATGGTTGAAAAAAAAAAAAGAGAGAGAAAATAGCAAGTTAGCAGGCAAGTTTGCCAAGTAAGGAGTGAGTACGCAGGGAGGAGTAGGTGCGCAGCCTTTGAAAATCCTCTTCTTTCCTGCTTTTTCAACCTCAGTTGTGCCACGCAAAGCCGCTGAGGTTGAAAAAGCAGGAAATAAAGGACAGCCAAGCACCCGGGCAGGTGGGCCAACCAGTTCGGTGTCAGCTGCTCTTCTGAACTACCAGTTCTATAGAACCGGGCCAACCCGGTAGCATCCCACCCCTGGTATTGCTCACTTAACAACTGCAGCGGTTCACTTAACAAACGCAGCCAGAAAGGTCTTACCACAGTCTTAAAAATTCAACTGCCTCGCTTTAGCAACGGGGATTGCGGTCGTACGTTGGGGACTAGCCGCCATTCTGCTGCTGCGCACACATGTTTTGTCTGCCTCCCCGCTCCCCCTCCCCCGCAGGGCGGCTTCGACTACAAGCGGGCCATCGTGGACTGCATCATTGGCATCATCGAAGAGAACCCCGAGAGCAAAGAGACGGGCCTGGCCCACCTCTGTGAGTTCATCGAAGACTGCGAGCACACAGTGCTAGCGACCAAGATCCTCCACCTACTGGGCAAGGAGGGGCCCAGGACCCCTACCCCTTCCAAGTACATCCGCTTCATCTTCAACCGGGTGGTGCTGGAGAATGAAGCAGTTCGGGCTGGTGAGTTTCGCGGGGGACGGGAGGTTTGCCAAACTGTGAGACCAAGAAGGAGAAGATCTGTCGCCTGCTGGACAGAATCTCTAGATGGGTGTTTGTCAACTTTGTGTCAGGATTCCAGCCATCGCCCTCATTAAATCATGATTCTCGAGCCAAACTTCAAAAACCTTC